CTGAATGTTTTAATTTGGTTTCTTAGTATTAGTAGTGAACATAATATTTTTTTTCATGTTTAAAACAGCTTTCTTCTGAGCAAGTGATGTCACTGTGGATAATGGATGTAATTTGGTAGATTTAGTTATGGTTTTAATTGTAAACATGCAGTTTGTTATTACATGGCAAATATTCATATGTGCCATACCTTTGGTTCAGTCAAAACTGGATATGTAACTTTAAACACATAAGGTTTGATCTGAGACTCTTTAGTGTGAAGATACATTGAAACGTTTGTAATTCAGAAGTGCCATAGCCAGGACTGAGTTAATAAAGGCAGTATTAAGCTACAAAGAGAAATTAATTAACCATGAATGTTTAGAGAGCCAGCACCCTTAAGCACGTCTAAGAGTATATATTTGAAAATTTTAGGAAAGATAGGGTGAGAAAGATGGAAGATGTAGAAGTGCTGAAAATACAAGATATACAAAATAGATTGATGGCTCCACCTCCTTTTCCAGATGATCCTGTATATATGGACAATCAAGCCCACAGAGAAGAATATGTTCTGAATGAACATGGAACACTGTACGAAGGGGTTCATAAGCATATTACCTCTAGACCATGGCACTTTGGACAGGTACATTTGGAAGAATTTTTCTGAAGCAATCATCCCCTTTTGTAAATAAATGAAGTTATAGCAACATAAGTTTACTACATATTTTTCAGAAATGTATCCTATAGTATGAAGTGTAAAAGCTTAAGATCAATTCAAACTATGCATACACAGAAAGAAATCACTGAAATTCTCACAATAGCACAAACTACTGAAAGGTAGTTTTCTATAGCAGAGCTGGGAAAGCTACAGAGCAGTCTTGGAAAAGTGGAGCAAAATGATCCGACCACTGAAAAATAAGAAGAAAAAAAAAGCGGGCGAGGGACTTCACAGACATGAACATAACTACTGAATTGGCAAGAAAAAGACATTATCAGTGTCAGAGTACCATGATGCTTGTGCTAACTTTTCTTTCCTTAGTTTGAAGATGGGATTCTGGATATCTGCTTGAAAGTTCTAGACATGGGTGCCAGTTACCATCACGGCTCTGATCGAGACCATTGCTGGCGCAATGATCCTGTGCATGTCAGCATGGTGGTGAACCACATGGTAAGATCTAACAACGTATGACCTCTGAATAGATAGCTCATGCTGCATTATATTATACAACAGTGAATTGCACTGTAATCTAACCCAGTGCTAATAGCAGATAAAACCTTTCTGTTCTCAGATCCACAGGAAAAAGTAATTAATCATGCAAATTTCTGATAGTGTTGTGATATGCCTAAGATGTGGATATGGTCAGATGTTTAGAAAGGTTGGTTTTCTCTCTCCCTGTAGATAAGTAGCCATAACACTAATAGTATCATGAAGATCCCAGAAAACAACGATTACCTGAAAGGAACTAAACCATTTTCATGGAATGGAAGTGTCCCTATTCTTCAGCAGTGGTACAATGGCAGATGTAGACCAGTCAGATATGGATACTGTGGGTCTCTTGCTGCAGTAATGTGCACAGGTATGATACCTCCATATGTCTTCATGCAGTTGTCCTAAAGGGAAGCAGGAAAACCAAGATCAAAACCTTCTTATCCTAAAAAATACTGCAAATTACTGATAAGCATTTTGCTATGAAAGAACCGTAATGTTTTGCCTTGTTACAGTATTATGTGGGTGCCTAGCCCAATGTTTGTCAACCTTTCATTTTCTTGTATTGAGTGAAAGGCAAGAAGAAAAACAGTGCTGTCTTCTCCTTGACCCTCATACCATATATCTCTCAATAATGCACCTTTTTAAAAAATTCAGGGAAAGCACAGCATCATGGAGGCAAAATTTTATACTTTGACTGATGTTTGGGAGATGAGTATTTCTATACCAAGTTCTGAACAAAACATCTAGTATTGTCTCCTCCAAAATATAACAGCAGCAAGCTACTGTCTTCTTTTACTGGAAGAGAGATGATAGTGAACTAGAGCTGATATAAATGCTTCATCTTTTCCTAAAAGATTCTGCAGTAGAAAGGCCTCATCGAAGAAAATTGAATTGCTACTCTATACATGAATCCATACACACTTTACAAAAATATTTTGCCTTACATTTCAAATACTCAAAAAAAGTCTCGAGGAAAAAGCCGGTGCATCCAAGATATTGTCCTCCTATCCATATTTTGTATTTAATTATTGAAAATTAGGATGCATTAAGATTATTTATAAAATAAGTAAAAGGGTTGCTTAATTAATTAATTTCTATAGTAACTCTTGAATATTTTTTCCTTACAGTGATGAGGTGCTTGGGGATTCCTAGCCGTGTTGTCACAAACTTCTGTTTTCCATGTTCAATTGAGAATCCCCTAGGAATCAATGAGATTTTTGACTCTACTGGAAAAAACCTGTGTGGTAAAGACAAACTATGGTAAATAAGAAATAAGAAATAAGGTCCTCTGGTTTTGCCAAAAACAATGAATGATAGAAAGACTAGCATAAATCTTCCTGTTCAGTGTTTCTATCTTTTTGGTGCAGCAAGGCTGCTCAGTTTCCTAATAATGATTTTAAAAAACATATAAATACTTAAGAGGTGATCTGTACTTCCTAAAAAATTTCAACAGACTCCTGAGAATTGATCCAGCCTGTTTATACTTCTCAGAGGAAACAATAGGGTCATTCATCTTAGAGTAGGTGAAACAATACTAAGTATTAAAATATTAAGGTAATAAAATACAAGGGAATAATTATCACAGATTATGATCATTATCCTCAGTCCAAATATTTGGATGATATTTATGTAGGCTTTCTGATTTTGCCAAATATATTCCTACTAAACTACTTTCCTCCTTAATTCCTACTAAACTTTCAATTCTTCTTCACACTAGTTTGACATTATCACTCACAATAGAAGAATTTCATAATTTCACCTGTTGTCTGTATGTTCATAGTTTCATTGCACCAGAATTTTGGTTGTATCCTAGTCTTGTCTTTGAGTGTTTTTTAAAAGTATTTTGCAGTCTTTACATTTCAGAAAGATGATGAAATCTATTTTAGCAGAAAACACTTAAAACTGTTTTCATTAACCGAATAAATAGACAAGGAAGACTATATGTGATTTCTCTTTAAGGGATCGGGACAGGAAGGCTAGGAAAGGCAAGAGATATTTAACTAAAATTACTATGTTGGCATGTTACCAACTGAAAAGTTAAGTTGCAAGAAGGCTTCAACAGTCAGGTGTGCATACTCCTAGAACACGCTTGAGGGATGAATGATATAAAAAAAATAAACAACCCCATTCCCCAATGCCTTTACCAATATTAAGACAGAGACTGTTTGTTTTATGAAAAATTTGTCTGGTACAGAATTTCATTTAAGAGATGTTTTAATGTTTTCTCCATCCTACAGGAGATACCACTGCTGGAATGAGTCCTGGATGGCCCGCAGAGACCTAAATCAATGCTGTGGTGATTGGCAGTGTTTGGATCCAACACCCTTGGAAACAGGGAGAGGTAAATTTATTTTCTTTTCTTTTTTCTTTCTCTGTATTTGTTATTGTTTTCCCAATTTTTTTTTTTAACTTTGTTTCTGTAATTCTCCGGTTATGTCCTATAATAACGTTTTTATTTCCATCTGACTTAGGTTTAGCTTGCAGTGGTCCTACATGGGTCCGAAGCATCAGAGAAGGGGAACTGGATTTGGACTATGATGGTCATCATTTGTTTTCTCGGCTAAACTCAAACTATGTCGGCTGGCTTTCCCAAAACAATGCCAGAAAAGCAAAGCTTTTCTGTGACACTTGGCCATGTGGACAACATCTCAGCACTAAGAGTGTTGGCAGTGACCAGTGTGAAGATATCACTGGGACTTATAAATATGAGCTGGGTATGATAAAAAGCCACTAAATGTGTTAAGGGGCATGTGAAATGCTAATTTTATTAAATTATCAACAAATGTAATCTATGCTTCATTAAAATGAATAGAACAACCTAAAGTTGCATTTTTTGGAGAAGGGGAATATGTTTTTGAGTTCAAACAGAAACTTAATATTTAACCTTCTAAGCATATTTAGTTGAATCAATCAGAACAAACAGCCTGCTTATAATTTCCATTTACTACCTCTATTCCTATTTCGGTTTCCTCTGTGTACTAGTTAAAATTTTAAGATTTTAGATAATGTAAAAACCTTAAACTCAGGATTAACACTTCCCCTTTACTTCTTGTACCAGATCTGTCAGGAAATATACTCACATACTTAATTCTTGTATTACTAGGATATCCTGCTGTTATCATTTCTGGGCTGCTGAGTACTGATTTTTATCATTCTGCAGTAGAAAGGAGTTTAAGCAGTAAAATTGCCTAGAGAAGTGTAGAATGGAACAGAGCTGTAAAAGTGCAAGTTCTGTTATTTTTTCTGGAAAACCAGCAACACACAATGAGTACCTTGATGTGAATGATGTATTTTGCCTTCTGAGAGACATGATAGCATTTCTTATTTATTCTAGCCCTATATTTTGAGTTTCATACTAATTATACATTTAGAGATTTACATTTCCAATCTGAAATTTAACTAATGAAAATAAAATACATTTTATTATCTTATTATATTTTATTTTCAATTTTCATGTTCTTTCAGACTTTTATGTCTTGTGGTTTTGTTACTTGGGGAATTTGTTTTGCATGAAGCCACTAGGTTAGGTTTCAAGAAGGAGGGGGAAGGAAGAAATTATCTTCACTGTTTAGATAAATGTGACTGATTGTGTTAATTATCTTACATCTTCTTTAACAGGTTCCCTAAAAAGCAAGGAGGCCTATTACAGGGCATACAGAAGAATTCATCCAGGGTACTGTAATGCTTCCAACTGCCATATAGATAGAGAGCTGTCAACTCTTCGTAGCCCATTCCTGAGTGACTCCGGTGTTAACATGAGACTAAAGATGGCTAACTGTCCTATGTACGGTGAAGATGTCCAACTGCACTGGCTGCTTGAAAATTTACATAATGATTCCAAAAATCTAAATTTTAATTTGTGTGCACAAATAATAACATACAATGGTTGCCCAATGGATCAATTTTGGAAAGACAAAGTGAATGTCACCTTGGGCCCAAGGGAAGGTAAGAAAGGTGGTTTTATATAACTGTTCCCTTTTCAGGAGATGACTTTTTTATTATTATTTAGTTTTTATTTTTTTAATAAGAGCAGGGTTAGTGGGAACCCCTTATTATTGGTGGGAAGCAAACATTTGAAAATTTGTTTCTGCTAAAATTTCTACTATGAATTCTGTATCAAATAGAAAGAAAGAGCTATTTGCCAGAAAAGCAACTTATTTTCTTTAGCCAGAAACTGTGTAAAACACTTGTTTTGACCGCTAAGGTGATTATTTTCAGATATATAATATGATAAGCAGAGCAAATTAATCATTTTCATGATTTCAAATGCTTTCAAATTCTTGAAAAAAAAATATAAATTTTATATAAATCACATCGCTGTTAAGAAGAAATTTCTTATTTGGTGTTCACATTCTGTTTTACCAAGCTTCAATTCACCTTGGTTTGGATTACTGCTTTAAGAATTACAGTAAAACAAAAGCTCCACAAATTTAAGTAACAAAAGACGTTTCTGCTAAATGTGCTCATGTTGGTATAGTCATTGAAAAGTTAGAAGATGTGTGTAGGGATGTGTCATCTAAGCCATATAACATTATGTCTGTTCTCAAAGATCTTATGATAATTTTGAAGGCTAGTGCACTGTAAGATCAGTTAAGTCTTTAGGGGGGAGTGGATCATCCCAAAACATTCAAATAATAATTACAATTTGCTTTACAGTGAAAAAAATTCCACTGTGTATATCATATAATCAATATGGACCTCACCTCTGTGATCACAACATTATGAAAGTAGTTGCTGTCTCAGATCCAGAGTGTGGAGATGTTCTGATGGTGAGCAGGGATATTGTGATCAACAGGCCTCCTGTTATTGTGAAGGTAAGAAACTACATAGGTCTAGAAATGGACCTGGACTCTTATTGCCCAGTGTCTAGCTGCAGTGCAGAAAATGTGCAACTCTTTAATATACATCAATTCACTTTGACCTACAGAGATAGTCAAAGTGAAACATGAATATGAATAACCTCTCTCTTTTCCTTTCATTAATTTACTTAAGTCAAATTGTGAGGGTCACAAAAAATAATATATATAAATATTTTTGACCAGCTTTTAAGCCAACCCCGGTTGAAAGTACCATGCACTGCAGAGATCTCCTTCTGCAATCCTCTCCAGGAAGATATGAAGAACTGCATAATGACTTTAGAAGGCTGTGGTTTATTCAAAGAACCAATGACCATTGAGTAAGTTCAATGATTATATAGATGGGAATAATATTTGGGGTGGATTAAAGGCTGTTAGGTCAGAGAAGATTATGAGGAAGATGACATTTCTAGTATTTTTGGTTTTGAACATCCAAACAGGACTTTGTGCCCCTCATTACTTTGAAACTCATCTGCAAGTCTCACTCTCTTGAAACTGATAGAGCATTTACAGATGGCAAGACACGCTGTTTCTTAATTTTTCTTAAGATACAACTTTTTTTTTTTCAAATTTCTGTCTGAAGAGGCATGCATAGTTTCTTTCACAAGAAATTCTAGCTGAGTCCCTCAACCATTACAATCTTTGAGTTTCTTATAAATTCCTCTAAGTATCTGTGAATGCATACATGAGCAATTAGAAAAAGACAGTGAGAAATAGCAATGTACACTCCAAACTCATAACATGCTAAGTACAGGAAACTGAAAACTTATGGGATGCAACAGCACTCTAGCTTATCATTAATGTGCATTGCTAACTTTCATGACAAGGAGAGCTGACAGAAGTTGGATTAGTTTTCAGGGGAAGTAATTAGGAGCTGTTCCTATTGAATGAGAATGAGCTTAATGTCTCAAAACTCCCTGATAAAACTTAGACCATTGAAAGTGGGAAACAGTAAATGTATTTCTGAGGTAAGTGTCCTACATTTTTGAAAAATTAAAGGAACTGTTATTCTTAGGGAATATATACACAAAGTTTCCGAATACTAATGATGAAGTAAATAAAAAAAAAAAATACACCACTATTAGGACAGTGGAATTTCCCATGGGTAGGAATTTTTCATGTGTTTTTGCTGAAGGAAATTGTTATCATGTTTTTCACAACACTGATTTTTTTTGGGGAGAGAAAAGCAAGAGTAACAAAGCTGTCCTAAAAAGGGTCTCTGAAAATGTCCTAGCAAATCAAACCTAAGTATATATTCAACTTCTAGTGCTTCAGGACTACAAGATATATAGGGCCTGTGAGACATCCTAATTCTTTTCTTTCTATTCCCTCAGTTTAGGAACTCTGGCTTCCAATCAGCAGGCACGAACCGTTGTGGAGTTTACACCTTACAGGCTTGGTAAACATCGGCTCCTGGCCAACTTTGGATGCCACAAGTTTGCCTACTGCAAAGGCTGTGTCAGCACTGAGGTGTGTAACCCAGTGGGACAGAATGGCACGTTGCCCCTGAACCAGAATGGATCACTCCATGTTTGTGAGAATGGTTCCCTGCCAGCCAACGGCTCTGCCTCTGTCCCTGCGGGGGACCCTGGGTTGCAGTCCATGTGCGAGTATGTATGTATCCCAGTGTGCAACCCCAACTGCAACACAGGGGGACAGCCTGTGTATGACTTCGTGTACCTCCCTGCAGGCCATCCTTTATGCAACTCCATTTGCAGCGCAGGCTTCAATCCCAGTGTTGGTCTTGGTTTTGACACGGGCTGTGATCCTGGCTTCCGTGTTATATGTGAGACCATGCCTGCCCCCACCTGTGTCCCAATGCCTGCCACCATGTATGGCTCTATGCCCATGCCAGCATCCAACCCCGTGTGCACCTCGATGCCTCAAGTGATATTCGAGTCAGGGCCTGGGTCCACACCCCAGCCTGGAGGGGGGCCAATGTCTTATTCTGTGTCCGTCCCAGCTGGGAATGCCGTGAGCGCCCTGCTGAATCACTTCATGGCTGGCTCAAGCCCCAGCTCCGTACCCGTTGCAGTCCCTACCCATGTGTCTGCCTCGCCATCACACCCCGTGTGCTCTCCAGCACCCCACTCCATACCACCACCAGCAGCCCTTTCCAGCAGCTTTTCTGCTGCCTCCCTCTCCCACGTCTGTGGCCCTGCACCCTCTCCAACTTCTCAGCCTGTGTGCGGCCCCATGGCCAGCCTTCCATCTCAGCCCAATGTGGGCGGCCCTGTGGCTCGTACCACGTGCTCCCCAGGCTCATGCGCAGGAGCTTCTCCGGTGCCCCTTGTGGCGCAGAGCTCTGTGTCTGTGCTGCACCTGGCCAATGCCTCTGTGTCCCACGCGGCCCCCCGCCCCGTGGGACCCCCAGCTGCCCACTCGCTGTGCACCCCGGCCTCCTTCTCTGTGGGAGCTGCAGCAGCTGGCTCTCCAGCCTCGTGCCTGGAGGACGTGTCGGCATCAAGCTGCTTTGTGTGCCCCCCGACCCTACGTGCCGTGGGGGCTGCTACGGCCCGCTCGGTGTGCACACCAGCATCCCGCCCTGCCTCACGGGCCATGTGCACCCCAGCGTCCCGCTCCCTCTGTGGCCCGCAGTGGGGTCCCTCATGCAACACTGCCTCGCGCTCGGCCTCACACTCCGCCTGGGCCCCAGCATCACGCTCGGCGTGGGGCACCGTGGTGCGCTCTGCCCTCACCCCACTGCCCCGTGCCTCTTACAGCACGCTTTCCCGTGGTGCCTACAACACCCTGTCCCGCTCCTCCTACAACAACGCCTTCTCCCGCGCAGCCTATGGCACCCTGCCCCGATCCACTTCCCCCTCAGCGTACGCCACCCTGCCCCGCGCGGTGTCCCACTCCTCATACACCCCACTGCCTCGCTCGACATCCCGCTCTGCATGGAGCCCGAGTAAGAGTACGCTCACCTACTTCAAACGTAAATACGTGTAAGTGAGAGCAAGCCACTACAAGCCCAAGCAAGTGAATTCAAGTCTGCATGCAGATGCTTTGAAAAAAGGTTAGGTGTAGGGTAATGGAGAGTAGCATGTGTAGTCTTGAGTATTTATCCACATGTTTGAGATGTGCCAGAAAGCAGACTGCTACCCGGTGCCAGAGAGATGCATTTGATGTAATACTTGTGCGTCCTGAGATGCAATACAGTGTTAGCGAGGAATGGACATGCTCCCTGTGGAGCCATAGTCACAGCAGCTATGCAGCACAGGTAATCGGACCTACTTGCCCAGTCAAGCTGTTTTTATAAATGATCTTTCACTCTCTTTTCTCTTGATTTCTTGCCATCTGTATATCTCAAATTTCCCTGGGCTGCAGCTCTCATAGCAAATTTCTCTCTCTACATGCAATGTGCTGTCCTTGGGATTCTTCAGAGGAATGGTAACAGACCTCCTGCTCGTCTTGCCTTACAAACACATGGGGCCCCTGAGTAGTGATGTTGTTGTGGCTCAGGCCAGCTCTGCATGCACTCGTATTTCCCCAGTTCTGTTGTTAAGTAAAACTGGGGAAACCACAGGGTAAGCTAAATCATTACAAGTCATCTAAACTGTTAAAAAGGAGAAAAAGGTGCTTGCAATAAATTTGGTATAACTTTTTCTGATGTATTACAGTTCCAAAATCTGGAATACAAAGGTCAAATTAGAAAGCTGCAAAGCTCAATGGATGTTTAATACCAGTTCATTGGCATTCACAGCTGATTTTTTTTTAATAGCATAAGCCAAGATTTTCTCATGTATCATATGCCTTTAGATTAATGAAAAAAACATCTAATTCCAATTCTACCTTGTGATCCGATATAGCTGGGAAACTTTTGTCACCGTGCTTGAGTTAGAGAAAGAAGTGTGGTGGCATCCTTTCTTTCCTCACCTCTGCCCCCAAAAACTTTACGAAACTCCCAACAGTTACGAAAGTGAATGAAAATGTGCCAATTTCTTCAGTTAAATGGTTTCATCTTCCACATTTTTAGGAATCCAAATCATATATTAATATAGTGGAACTTCCTCAAGTTATCTGGTTTATCCTCAGTTTATTTCTTACAAGAGTTTTGCTGATGCACCTCCCTCCATGTCCATTGTTTTCCTCTAGTGCACCATTATTTTTAGTAGAAATTTTTAGCCAGGTTTTGTGGTAAAGTTATTTTCCTGGTGCTGCAGCCTCTTTGTTAATGTAGCAATAATATTTCAGTAGTGTCACTGTTTTTGAATGTCTATGCATTGTGATGAGGTTGAGCAATGTTCTGGGGAATCTAGAAAGTTGTTCTGTCAGACAGTATCTATGAATGCACTAGCTATGCCTATTAAATTGCAAGTCTCAGTATAGTAGGAGAAATCTTTGCGTGGATAATTGTAATTGAGTGGTAATGATTAAGGCTTTTTTTTTTAATAGTCTATATTGGGTATTTGCTAAGAATTTCATTGCCTGATTGACAATAAAAATAGGAGTTTAAAAACACTGTAATTCTGTTTTTTTTTTCTTGCACTACCTCTTCAAAAGTGGGAAATAATCTCACTAGATGCTCTGGTATGTGTAATCTTCCTTCCACTTTTATATTCTATTTCTTCTTCCTTAAAATCTAAAATCAAAGTTTCAAAATAGGAAAGCTATAGATCAGGGCTTACTTATCTCTGAAAATACCCAGTACGGTATCTAGGTGAAAAATTCAGCTGTGTTCTTTTCTCATATTAAAGCTCTCCACTTATAGGAGATGCATGATTATATTTTCCCCCTGCTTTCATGGGGGAACTTTTCCTGCCAACAGCAGCAGTGCCAAATAGAACAAATCACTCTGCTGAGTGATAAAGGAAGAGATGTAAAAGAGTCCAGTGCTGTTTTTTAAGGAAACATTTAGTATGTGGTGACTACATCATCACTAAATAACACTTCACCTTTCTTCTCCTTATTATGGTTTGACTTCTCTGATTTCCACATTTCTGTGAATGATCATGATTCTGTATGACAGAAGCTCCCAATGTTTGGTTTTACACAACATGTGCATAAACACTGCTTCCCAACTCACATCTTACATGCTGTGTATACATTCATTTTGAAAACCATAGAAAGTCCATTATAAATAAGGCCTTGGAGCACTATAGAAATGCTTTGAAGATCAAATGATTCTAGTATCAATAAAATAATCTAGAGATGTTGCCACATACTTAACAGTAAGAATGAAAGATAATATAAAACTATGAGTACTGGAATTTGTTTTTTTTTTGTTCGTGAAACTGTTTTTTATTTTGAGAGAGAAAAGAAAGAATCTATTATGTGATAATTTTTAGTTCTTATCACTAACAGGCCTTCAGGCTTTTACATTTTTTTTTCTAGTGAAAAGTTATGAAGATATAGCTGCAAGTCAAGAATTTAAAACTTTAAATGCTGTAGGTTGCTGTTTTTCTTAACTCTTGCTGGTAACATACCATAAATGCAATGTGTCTGGCTGAAATGTGATTTATTTTTATATATTCCATTACCCACAAGAAACATATTGAAATTTATAGCTCAATGAATCTATATCTTGCCCAAGTATTAGCTACAAAGGTAATTTAAATTTGATATATTGTATCAAACTAGAAGATTAAGTTAGAAAAACACTATGTTCATTTTACTTTTTGTTATACAACAAAAAAATTTTTGTAACATATCTTAAGTGTATAAAAAATACCCAAATGAAATGCGTTGGCCAGGAAAATGTGTGTAAAATATTAAAAAATGCAAAAATAATGAATATCCTGTTTTGTTATACTGTAGTTTTATGTCATCTTTTGCATATTTCTATTAATTTTAATTTTTCAAGTCTGTATAGTTTTCAGAGTGCATTCATACAGGTACTCTAACAAGGGGAGGTCTTTATTAATAGAAGATAATCCTACTCAAAGATTTTACAGGAATCCAATTTCTTTGTTTCTTTTGTTTTATCTGCTAAGAGGAATCTCTTCCACACCTTCTTAATAGTCTTCTTGGATAATCTTATTAAAATCTTTTAAATTCTTTGTTTTGCACTACATGTTTTATTACGTGATAATTATGCCTGTAAAACCATTTATACAGGGTAAATTTATGATTCTATGACTAACATCAGAAGAGGGATTTTGTGCAGGAGACCAATGCCAGACTGAAAACAGTATTCCCTGCCGAGAGATCAAATGCAGAGTATGTGTGCAGCTGAGCTGTTGTTACTACTTAGTGGCTTGTTTATAGTAATATTTTACCAAATTACCTAATTCATTTAGATGTTAAATCTATTCGTTTGATATACTACCTAGAAACACCTGTCCAGCTTTTCAGCTAACAATCTTTTTTTCCTGTTCTTCTCTCCTGAGAAAGCTTGACACTGATGGTCCTCAGTAGACTTCATTAGATATTTGGGTAACCTGTGTTTAGCCTATATGTTGATTTCTTCAGATCATATATGAATGACATGTCTTCTCTATCAGGTATGTGTATAGGATCTATCAGTACTCTATGGTTTGAACAAAGAACATTCAGCTCAACTAATAAATCAGTTTCAGAAATTAATAAAATGAAATACTATCTATGAAATACTATCTGTATGATAAGAGAGAAGGTCTTTATTATTTAAAGAAACTTCAGCACTATATACCACTTATTTTTATAAATATCTCTTCTAGAATTCCTTTATTTTTTGATTTCTATTAGACCAATTAGGAATAGAGAAAATTGGTGTTTGGGATAAATATTATGAATATTTCCTTGCTCTTTCAATACACTGAAGGACCCAATCAATCATTTGCAATCTACAGTAGATATTAACCATGACCTATAAATGCTCTGTAATCCTGGCTGTGCTTAATGTAGCCTCTTCATCTTCTAATTTTTGCTTATCTTCTAATTCCATTTTGCCTTTTTTTTTTTTTTTTTGGCCTTCATCCCTTTTTTATGTAGGTGGAATTATTAGAATAGCTAGAGGCTGCTCAGATGCAAATATCAAGATTGCTACAGCAGCTTTCAGTGGGTGTTTCAGAGCCTCTAATAGGCAATATCGTTTTTGGAGCACAAACATTTTAAGGTGGAGAGAATACTGAGGTTTTTGTAATGATCTTGTTTCTTTCCTTTAGGTGATCTGAGTCTATTATACAAAAGCACCAATCATTAAGAGTCCCAACTGCACATTAGCAGAATATTAACATACATGCTTTTCTGCATCACTGAGTGAGGCCATTTGCCAAGGACAATATCAATGCAGAAGGAATAATAAACAGGATTTATTGAGATCTGTTCTAATGCAACCTCACAGAGAAACTTAACATGCTCCTTTAAAACTAGATATAAAGTTTATTCAAAGACAATGGACCAAATCTAAATAAGAAGCAGAAGGCTTATCTGGTAAACAAGGCAAAAATTGTGCCCCAAGTACCCATAATTAAAATTCTACATATTTGATGGTGGATTCTGCTTAATCCTGGAACCATCCTAACTCTTTAGGAGTCTCATTGTTTCCTCAAAATCTTCAGGTGCCTGGATTTGAGTTCCCAAATGTATAGATTTGTGTCCCTGTATATTTCTCTGTCAGGAGACTGGACTGCTCCTTACATGTTTACCCAGTGTTTGGCTGTTTCTAGCCAGGTGAATGCAAAATATCCTGGCTACCTTCCAGTGATTGCAGGCTCCTGGTCTGAGCCACGACACTCACTGTCTACGTAAGCATCATATTCTGGCTTTACTTCAAAGGAAAAAGAGTGAGCAAGTGGGAAGACATTTTGTGCTACAGTGATTCTGTAGAAGCGCTTTTTCCCCCCCCCGCACCCCCCCCCAAAAAAAAAAAAAAAAAACAAAACCCTTTCCTGCTCAGAAGGACTTTCCTAGTCAGTTCTTCCCATAGCTGAGATCGCTCTTTGTACTCTGTTGAACGAAGTTCACAGACTCCTTGGCTTAGGGCAACTCAGAGCTGATGAAACTATCATTTTTAGAGGATGACAGCC